TAATTGACTTTTTTATTAAAATTCTGAAACTTATCCCTTAACAACCATAACAACAAATCACTGATATTCTTATCTTACACCATAGGTTATTGTAGATATATATTACATTGGTACAACATCTGATATTTTTCAGTGATATTCTTATCTTACACCATAGGTTATTGTAGATATATATTACATTGTACAACATCTGATATTTTTCACTGACATTCTTATCTTACACCATAGATTATTGTAGAGATATATATTACATTGATACAACATCTGATATTTTTCAGTGATATTCTTATCTTACACCATAGGTTATTGTAGAGATATATATTACATTGGTACAGCATCTGATATTTTTCATTTCTTTTTGTTTTTGGCATATTTTTAAACATATTTTGAAAATTAAATTATTCTGATAAAATATTTCTTAAATGCCATATGAAAGTACAGACGGAGGTTATCTTTGGGTACAATAACTTATTTAAAACCTAAGAAACCGAAAAAAGTGCTTAATTTTCATATCATATACCGAACTGGAACATCCAAGAGATTTGGCTGCAAAAAGTCCTTTACTGAGTATAGTCAAATATTTTTACACTGTTGAGCTAACTAGATCTCTGACAGAGCTTTTACGTTACTTTACCAGTATAAGTATGGCATACTTGGATTTACTGGATCTCAACGCAACACTAGAAGACAACAACAACAACACCTTCATCAATTTTACTAATTCTACGTATGAAGGAATGGACTTTGGTCCTCCGCGAGTAATCTTCGAAATTGTTAAGATCTTATATAGCATTGTTTGTTTGGTTGGCCTATGCGGAAACACGTTAGTCATATATGTGGTACTGCGATTTTCTAAAATGCAGACTGTCACCAATATGTACATTTTAAACCTTGCCGTTGCTGATGAAATGTTTTTAACTGGCCTTCCGTTCCTTATAGTCACGATGACCGTCAGACATTGGCCTTTTGGGCGTGTCATGTGTAAATTGTACATGACTACTACCTCGATAAACCAGTTCACCAGCAGTCTGCTACTGACCGTCATGAGTGCCGACCGCTACGTGGCAGTCTGCCACCCCATCTCCTCCCCCCGCTACAGGACCAGTTTTATTGCCAAGTTCATCTGCCTCACAGCATGGACCGTATCGGCTCTACTCATGGTTCCCATCTATATGTACGCTAATGTCCTGGATAAGGGAAGCTCGGTAACATGTAACATCTTCTGGCCTGAGAGCGACTTCATGAACGGACAAAAGGCATTCACTCTATACTCTCTCACTCT